CCCCCCCGGGCCTTTCCTCACCGTTCAAAGTGCGCAAGCCACAGCCGGGTGTCCAATAGGACGCTCTTCCCTGGAAACTCACACCCGCACGTGCAGCTGCTGCCGCCGCCGCCGCTGCTGGTATCAGGAATGCGCTCCGTGCCTCTACCTCCACAGGTGCATGGCGACGGTGGGGGGAGGGGCGGCGAAGCTACTAATGGTGAGGCCTTGCCCCCCCCGCCACCACTCGCTCCGGCATCACCCCCACCGACAAACCAAGCGGCATCTCCGCCCCCAATCCTAACATCATCCCGGCCCCTTCCAACGTTTCTACCAAAGGCCATATCACTATCCGGCCGCATACTCCTGCCTTCTCCCCTTAGAGATCTTTCTCCTCCCCCTCCCGTCTCGCCCGTAGCAGAGGTGGAGGTGCCGGTGGCATCGTCGAAGTAGGCCGGCCGCTCCCTTCGTAGGTGCGTGGTCGTTAGCATGAGGAGGTTGTACAACTTCCCCTGCACGTGCCGTGTTGTCATGTATACACTGGCGTTAAGAGCGCGAGGGGCATACAGTTGGAGAATGCGTTAGAAATACGCTATTCCGAACGGTGGGAAGTAGGTGCCTACTGACGGAGCGCTACAGACCGGCCAAGAGCGCACGTGGCGCGCGGCATGTGTGGCTTACGATGAACGGAGAACAAAAACAACACAAGAATGCCGCATGGTTCAGGGATATTGTGGTTGACTCGCGGGTGGGCCCCTAGTGTTGAAACTGTGGACGGTAGGTTCTGCCAATACGTTTGGCTTAGGTCTTGCACCACTTCAAGCCTTTGAAGGTGGTGCGTTTTTGGCAGAGGAACCACGTTCAAAATGGGGGTCCCAGGACTCGAGAAGCTGTAAGTAGAGTGACAGGTGAAACAGCGTGTTTTCTCGAGTCAAGTGAAGCTGTTCCGAGCAACCTATTCATTCAGTTTTTCGTCGTCCAATTTGTTGTTTGTCGGTCGCTGTGCTACCTATTCCCTGCGGCCTGGCCTCGTTGCCGAACCAAATCCAATACAGGATCAACACAGAATATTACCTCTGCGGTATGTGGTATATCATCACGCATGCCTCCTATAGCCCTGGAGGCCAGGAGAGTTCATCCGTCCCTTCCTTGAGTACGCTCACGAACAAGCGTTTCCCAACACATTGGACAGAACGCGCGGATAAAGCACACCTCACCGGGATTCAAAGCCCCAATCCAACCGCGCTTGAATGTCTAACATAACCGAAATTGACACCACAAGAAAACGCCCCAAGAAATAAACGCAGTCATCAACATACCGTGCGCTTGCCCCCCACCAGAATAGTACGAGCCTCAACACTATCCGATGGAACGTTCCATCCAACCGTGCTCGTCAACCGCAGCTCCGATGACTGTCCTTGGCAAGCGCTTGTCCGCCACCCACTTCGCTACGGCTTTGGTATTAGCAACGCAGTTTCATTCTGCACACTTTCCGAGTCGATTGTCTCCGAAAATGTGAGATAACTCAATTAGTACGGATCGCGTGGTGTGTCACAGGAGACGTGCTCTCACCTGCGCCACATCGCGTACGACTGGCTCACGAAGAAGGTGAGGATGAATGTTGTCAGGGTCATATGGATCTTCCAGATTCTGCGAGTATGTGTGTGCGCGAGCCACATCGGGTGCCATATTACAACACGAGAGAGCAATAACAAACGAGGGCCGGGGCCAGCGGCGAGGGAAAAAATATGCAACGAGCTGGAAATGCTGGAGAACGATATGTAATACTCAACTTCACGAAGCATTCAAAAAAGTCGACAGGAACAATTCACTCCTCTGAAACCCACCACGGGACCTCCGTTTTCTCCTCCCGACCTTTATTTTCTCTATGGTACTAGTTCGCTGTTCGCAATGTAGCACAACCTCCAAGAAACAGAGCGCTCAAAGTTGGCGGTGCCTTCCCGTGAGTGTGACCTTCACTCCGTCTCGGAAGAAGTAAGTGGTTAACTATCGAATGAAAAGGCAAAGGTGTGAGTACTTCCCCCCCCAGTCTGGTTTGCTATGAGATGAACGACTGCTTCACGTGGAGGAGCGGGAACGGCAGGTGGCCCATATCTAATAAATATCCCCTCAAGCAAATACTTCCGAATAATGATGGTGCTGTTTTATCGACAGTCCAAACTAGGTAGCCCCGTCTTTCGTGGTGGAACGTATCGCTCTCATCCCAAGATATTTTCGTAAAGCACGCCCCAAACATACACCCTGACTCTTTTCTGTTACCCGTTCCATTTTATCGGGGCGGTAGCTTTGCACTGGTAATTGTGCTTTGGGTATGCCAGGCAAGGAAACCCGGAAACGTTCCTTCTGCGGGCTCCAGGAAAGGCAACCGGAACAGGTAAGGGAGATCAAGGCCATAAGCAACTTGCCACCATGAGGACTGTACGGTACAACACCTTGACAGTAGCTGTTTCTGAGTGCTGTATATGGTCGTCGAGAGCAACGTCGCTGCAAACGTTGTACCGAAGGGGGGAGAACCCTCTGGATTTGAATGGTTCATATCATCAACCTTTAACAGTTGACTGCTCAAGACGCAAGGTGGCGGGGTCTCGAAACATGTGTTCTGTCATAACAGATGAGGAGGAGAACCCGCGAAAGACGCCTCTACGGTACGCGGACATTCTCACGTCGAGAATCTTACATATCAATCTTGAACAGCTGCTCGGAGAGGCGAGGGTATGAAACTTGCAGTCTTTGATACGCCAAGCACACGACCAGCGCAACAACCATGTTAAGCATGGTCGCTTCCCACGTGTCTTCCAGCATGGTCCCTTTCCATTTTCTCCAAAGAACCGCGCGGGTAGGCACGAATTGCTCGATGACAGGATCGGGTATCTGGTTCGAAACAAACCACGCGGATTTGCATGCACATGATTTTCAGGGGGGGGCGTGGCGGCGGGGTGGGTCTTGCTCTGCCACTTGCCGACCATGAACTTGAGGTTTGTGGTATTGTAGCTGCTGTGTTCTACAAGGAAAAACAGTAACGTTGTTGTGCAGTTTCTTCCTGTCTCCCGCTACTACTGTGGTGCTGGTGTTGGCCACATACCTGCTGCAAGTTCGAGAAGACCCACAAATTCCACGAGGTTTGGTCTGCACTAAGATACTACTGAACATGGCATCCAAACGGGATGATTTTTTGCACCTCAGATGTTAGCAGACTCTCAGCCTTGACCCGTAGTTCTTCCGCATCCATTGGTTCCCACGACATCGGCCCGGGGAAGCCGCCTTTCCCCCGCTTTACGGCGGTCTCCCAAGCATGCTTCCTGCTGAAGGTTCGCCGGCTGAAGTTGGCCCCTCCTCGCAGTCCTGACGAGGGCCTTATCGTAGAACATGGCCCTGGATGCTTTTGTGGCGGCTCACCCATAGGTGTAGCTTGCTGGGTAGTGCAGTTTGAACGGTGGTGCTTCTGATGTACAAGAAGAGTGCAAGACGACGATGATGCGCTATCCAAGAACATGATCGCACCAATGCACATGGTTTTCGACGGCCACGCCATTGCTGTACGGTAATACGGGCGGCGTACAACCATTCCTCGTATTCATGACGACATCGCCGAGTTTTGCAGTCCCCGTGCGTGCCTCTCAAGTCTCTCGCGCAGCAGGGCAGCAACAAGATGCGGCACCAGCACCGTTTGGCAGAAACGCGGCGCGACTTGCACCGTTTCGGCAGTAGTCACGTCTCCCGCCAAAAATACAAGCAGGCGTTTGCAGCTCTCCGGACTTTCGTTTTTGTCAGCCCTCCAGCAGTCTTGTAGATATGGCCGGGAGCTCTTCGACTAGACCGAAAGCGCCATTCCGACTCAAGATCCGCCTGCCCCAGGCGGAGGCGATGGAGGCACTGCTGTACGGCTGCATGATATGGTCACCACTCAGCGGCCACTACCAGCTGCGGTCTGTACACCACCGACTGCTCGTTCGAGTTATCGGGTACAGGGGCAAGAAAGACACCTACCGGCAGCTTTCTTACGCACAGGCGCTGAAGAGGGTCGCATGCCAGAGGCGGGTTCCTCGGTAAAGCCGAATCACTGAGTGCTCGACGAAAAAAAAGTGCAAAAAAAACGATTTCACAGTCGCGCTAAAATGCCCATAAACGAGGTTTAAAAAAATGGCACAAAAAAAAATTCACCTTGTTGGCCGAGATTTTTTTGTTGACCCATTATAGGTCCGTTCACAGTTTTTTTTTTTTTTCACTTTTTTTTTAATTTTTCGCCAATCAAAGGGGGCACGAATATCGCATTTTTCAATAGGAGTTTTTTCCGCGCGCGAAGCGCGCGTGCGAAAAAAAAAACGGCGCGATAGCGGAGTTTTTTTTTCGCAAAAAAACTGTTTTAGATGTGTCCTTCTTGTTTCCCCGCCTGGGTTCTGCGCACGTTGAATAACACCGCCTGTCAGCCCGACCCCTGAAT